CCTCGTCACCGTGTTTCAGATTAACAGTCACGGCAAGGGTTTACCTGCCTTTTAGCTCCGCACCTTCTTAGTTACCCAATGTCTTTCCTTGGGAGCTCATTCCGACTGGGTGGGTAAGCAGGGGTATAGCTTCCAGGAAACGTCGTGGTTGTGAAGAAGGAGCGGGCACTCGGGATACATCCACGCATGCCTCCCCTGTTTTCACACCCATGCGGGGATACGTACTGCACAGTCATGCAGATTGGTCTCCATTGCTATCCAAAAAGAGACTAGAGCCAATCGAGGGACGGAACCGCTCCTGTCACAAACTTCTCAGAGGGGAAAGTGCCGCCCTTGTTGATTGGTCAACATTCGATGAAAGGCGATCTGGGATCGTCCGGGCGCCATCGCATTTGCAAGTGCAAAGAGATTTGCTGGGTCCAAAGTCGAGAATCTGGATTCCAGATTCCGGTCTAGCCCAGTCCCCTAGTCCCAATACACCAACACAGAAAGGATTAGCACCACCAGAATGAAAAGTCAACACATAATGAAAGGCGACTCTACCGATGTTCAACAGAGTATCCGTAGTACACTCTTGATATGTTTCTTGTCTGCTTTCAGTCGCTGCACATCGTGACTTATCAGTCAGTATCTGATCCCCCTCTCGAGTCTAGAGAAAGGGTGTAACGCTCATGGCGAAAATGCGGCCATTCATCCACAGTGCAACATGAAAGGCTATTTTTACGACAATTGGAGCCAGCCACAGTCGAACGAGCTGTACCGTACAACTAACCATCGGCCATGGCGTACAGAGTCACAGAGCACCGCGTGCTCCGAAACGTACGAATGCTCCGAAACTTGGCCGCCACCGCCCTTCTCCATGTTGCGTAACGAGGTACTCCAGAAGAGAGTTCATATCCTATTCTGGCAACTACGCCGCTGTTGGCTGGAAGAAGCATCCAATCAAAAGATTGAAATTTCTGTCGCCTCTAAGGTCTGAACTCGGCGCGTTGAGTTGAAGCAGCATGCCCAAATAGCCTGGAATCCGGGATTGGCCCGTCAGCGTGACCTCTTTGGCGATCCTAGTCAACAAATCCACTTGCGACTGACACGATGGCAGCCTGACAGGTAGCAACAACATTTCAAAGAGTTTCTTGATAAACAAATAACATCGCTCAAGCCTACAGGTCGTTTCCGGAGACAAGTGCTCGCTCGTGAGCTTGATAGTTGATACATCTGCCTTCTACTGCGGAGACCACGTCGAATCGTGCATCTCATCTTGATAAGCCGCGGAAGGGCATCAAAACGAATTGCAATGCCTTCAACCCCGACTCTCGGTAACACATTGCTTCTTCTTCCACGTTGAAACCGGCGATAGGATTCTACGAGACCGATGCTGAATAGCCCAACCGTCGAGCTCCCCTCGCTTGAGCGGCAGGGCTAGAAGGATGGCTGCTCAACGCTAAGCTTGCCTCAGATTCCTCCTCATCTGATACGGTTTTGAGGACGGGGAAAACTATGATATTGATCTTTCTCGGCCTTCAACATGACTTTACCGCAGCACATTTTCAACCAGGCGTGAAATCCATCATCTCGCTGCCTAGCCGGACGTTCCCCGATCACGATGCGTTGGCCGTTGGGCAATTTAAGTTGATAACCTTGGATTCATCTGTGCACAGTTGCCATTGTGGACCGCGCTCAGAACGCTTTTAATCTCCTCTCGGTTCTCGATGCATTCGACCACCATTCCCTTTCCAGCCAGGCCCCTGTCGGAGCCGGACCAGCGTCAAAACCAATTAGCAACGACTATCCGTACGCATATGCGTCTTCTGTCCCCTTTGGTTGTAGACAATGCAATGGCAGACGAGACTTGACCACCCGGTTCCGCCTTCCAGAGCCATGTAGCAAGACACGCCTGGCTGAATCGAGGCAATGCTGCGCAGCGATGGTGGAGGAGACGCTTCCTTGCCTGTCGTAGACTACCGAGGGTGAGACGAGCGCCGGCGGGCGGCAGACGAGACAAGAACTTGCATCAAACAGCTGCGGCCGCCTAGCCCAGGCGCCGTTGGGCCAGGCAGGCTTCCCGCCACCACCAAGCTATCCCATGAATGACGGAGAGAATCTTTCGGGGTTGGGATCTCTCCTTGACACCTTATGCCGCAGAGTTAGAGCCTGCTTCTCCGAATCAACCTATATCGATAGGTTCTCGAGCAACGCGTGAGCAAGAGGCGCTACGGAAGCGCCCACTGAAAGATATAGTTTCTCGATTTCTACATTGGGTCTCGCCTTTGTCTTGACTATATTCCCGGCCATCAGCCACACCGTCGGAATCTGGAGTGACCGCACCGTCAGATTGCCTCGCTGAGAGGACTCAACAACACCAGATGGCTTGCTTGACTGCAAGACGCTATCTCTACACCAGTTCGTGTCCGAAGTTCTATGGCGGATCGCGCCCTCTCTCTCGTTACCATTGTCTGTCACACGGCTAGCCGAACCAAATGATCTACCATGCGCGGACATTGCTGTGCCCTCGAATGCCAACAAACATTGACATTGGCTCACCTCAATGATGATCTCATAAGCTTACGGTACAGAATGCCTGGTCTTCTGTTCAGCTGACAGGTTGGTTGAATGTCAACGTCAGACAAACATCTGGCTCAATGCTTGTTTCAAAAGCAATAATCATTATCTACAAGATACTTGAGCTAAGAGCAGCAACACAGAAAGCAGAGATTGTTTCCCATCTTAAGGTATCTTGAATACACAGATCTTCTTGACTTGGGCACTACTCTTCAGTCCAAAATCTACAAGGCAGTTTACGCGGTTTCATCCCAATGCACTTGCCTGTGAACTTTCGCAGCAAGGTAAGGCAAAGGTAGAGAAGGTAAGCTAGGGGAGAGATGGCGCACAGCCGTAGGTACGTACCGATGTAACGTGTCCAGGTATCTCCCGAGCATCCAGAATCCTTCGGACGCACACGCCGCCCACCCCTTGAGAACTCGGTACGTCCTCACCAATTACGTACCTCACTGAGGCGTCTAAGGCACCCTGTCCCGTTCTCTTTCTGCCAACTACGAACACCCACTCCCAGCTTCTTCATTCCTTGGCCTCGCCCTCGGTGGCCTCCTCTCACACCAGCAACGACAGCCCGTTTTTTAATACCTCGTCAAACCAGAGAAATCCACACACACCCCTTGTGGCACCTTCACACCCTCTTCTCCAGCTCTCCGCTGACTCTTGAACCATCAACTGTGGCTGGTCTCTTTTGAATCCCCCTTGGACCACGGACAGCCAACCCCACTTCAACCTGCTGCGCTGGTGCTGCTGCAGGGCTCGAGTCTGTTTACTGAAGGCTACAGTAACAATACCTCGTTGTTTCTCTTGGGCCAGAAACTTCGCTGCTACGGTCAAGGATGATGATTACATGAGGCAGACGCGGAAAGGCAAGTGTTGGAGTAGGAGCTCCGCGCCGAACTTAAGACCTGACTCTTGGGCTCGACATCCCATCCATCACTCAACTTGCTTTCAGCAGTCGAGGTACGTGTATCCCTGCTTGACTGAGCTTTTGGAATCAAATAATACCTACCTTACCTACCATGTAGTCCAATAACCAGTAGACGAGGTCTGTGAGCGTTGCTAAGTGAAGACAAAAGAAGCCCGGTAAATACTACATATCATGAGAATCTCCGAAACGCATTATGGTTCTTCCACGAGGCGGCTTTCATGTTCCAATACGCACCGGCAAATCACCAGACGAGACAAGAGGGGGCTAGACAAAACATCAGCACGGCCAGGAGACGTATCCTTGTTCTCGCATGCTTCAGCACGAGACCGCATCGCGTCCCATTCGCGTCTGCAACAAAAGCGTCCAATCAGTATCTCTGAACTGATAGCTTTGTGAGTGAACTCGCTCGAACTCGCTTTCTCAGCTGACCTGCGGCCATAACCCCGCCCAGTTCCATCTCGCTAGTGTACATATCGAGCTTGAGTATACAAAAGTGAGAAATCAATGTGCAGAGTCTAGCTGAAGCCTCGAGTTCGGGCCAGGCCAAAAACGGTTCGTATCAAGCTTTGGGAACGTGTATTGTCCCTGAGTTTCCTGATATCGACCTCGTTGTCTCTCTCTGTCAACCTCCCTCGCGCTTTTGCGGCTTCTCCTCTTTCTTTCCTTCCGCCTTACAGGTGATGGTGTCGTCAACTCATCATCAGGATCGACCCTGCGCCTCTGGTCGAACTCTGCTCACACACTTCTGCATTTGTCTGCTGCCTCCAAGATGCGTACCAGGCTATCCCTGCTGGCTACGGAAGTTGAACTGCAATCAAAGAGAGCACGGCGGCACTCGCACGCGTACGCGATTTCCCAACGACGACACCCCTCAATCACCTACCCACTTTGGGAAGCTAGGCGAAACTACAATGCTTACCCACCGACGGCAGCTCCTGGCGGAGTCTCTATACATAATCAGGTCACAAAGCTGCATGCCAAGCACGAGAGCGCGGAGAATTATCGAAGGACCAGGGGACAAAGATGACTGTGTGCGATGCAAGCAAGAAACATCTTGCGCAGTCAGAAGAGGGAATAGCTGCAGCAGCCTCATCGGCGGTGGCAGCGTCAACACTCAGCAAATGGACGTCGATATCAAGGCCAAAGTCCGAAGTTCTCATGTTCCGGCTCGTTCTGCCCTACGCTCACTCGAGCCGGCTTGTCAACCCCCCTTGATAGCCATACGCAGCGCTGCGCATGCATTGTCTTGCGTGTCGTGCGTATCCTGTCAGTGAGGGTGGCTTGCGCCTTGCCACCGGATACTGGTCTTCTCCTGTTCTCGTCTCGCTTCGACGATACCGCAGTCCAACCCCCGCTCTTGCACTTTAGCTCGTATTAGAGCCTGGTACGGATACTGTAGGTATGCGGTTACGGTTCGTCTCTTTTTCTTTTTTTTTTTTCTTCTTTTTTTTTTTTACCTCTCTCCTTTGGATACACAAGCTGTAGGTGTTGGGTCACGGTACAGTCCCTAGAGCTGTAGTGATGATTGGGTTGAAACGTCTACTTGTAGCTGACAGTAACACGAAGCCGATGCTGGCGCAGGAAGTACTGATACAATAAACAGCTCGAGATTGACCGAGCATAGGTAATAGCCGGCCCAAAGACGTCGGGATCCTCGACAATGGTGACTCCAAGCCCAACCACCATGCACCCTTTTCTGGTCCTGGGAGAGGGATCGATAGATTCCTTACATCACTTCTCGCCCCCAACTTCCGATTTCCAACTGTCTTTGCTGCAGCATCCATCATCCGGCATCCTGGCCCTCTGGCATCTAGCATCCACAGACAGCACACCCACATCCACATCCCACATCCCTCGTTCCTCATTCCTCATTCCTCGTTCGCCTTTGCCGTCCGTTCATCTTGAAGTCTGATTCTACGCCAATGTGGGATTTCCCCATCTTGGCCCAATGCTGACTAGCCGCCTTCGCCACAGTTCCCGGGTTTACACCCCCTTCATAACCCCATCACCACCCCCACCCCCTTGGCCCTTGCTGGGGTCTTGGGAGTGGGAGGAGTCCCTGTGGGCGTGGGCGTGCAGACACCCCCTCGCGCCACTTGATCTGAGGGTCGGGACCGCGGACTGGACTGGGCTGGGCTTGGACACAAACAACGCGCACCCCCCTGTGCTCATCCCCCTCCATGTGTCATCTCTTCTGATACGCGCTGGTTGTAAATGAAATAAACCAGGCTCACTGTCATTCTCCACCACGGGCGACGCACCTTGACTACCATCCATTCCGCACCGAGCCTTATCCTGAACTGTCCGTAAACGGCCGGGCCATCTCCTAGACTCATATGCCTCTCTCTGTCCTTTGCATTCTCCTCCTATCCGCACTTATCACTTCATGGGTGGTGCTTGCGATTCAAATCTGCCAGGAGAGTTGGCGACTCCCTGAGTGTCTCCTGAGTATCCGTAGGACCTCGACGGCCTTGGATGGACCTGGGCATCTCATACCATAATTCCTGCACGCCTCGTCGGGTCAGTCAGGCCTTGCTGGAGTGGTTCATCTCCTTTCCCGCGTCTCCATTCAGCATCTGCATCTGCATCAGTATCCGCACCTGCAACCCCCGGCCGGGGTTCCTTGGGAAAGGGAAATGGCGAAATAACGAAAGAGGGAGACAGACACGCGCTCACACGGAGGACTACACTACTATGTGGTGTACTCTGTTGAGAGGAGGAACTTACACCACACACACCTTGCCGATTTCCATATCCAGGCACTTGCACATTGTACTTTTACAGGACACACCCCCGTCACCCTTCCCGCTCGTGGGCCCGCGGGTTCCCAAACTCCATAGAACAGAAGCCGTTGAATGCCTGCCCCCCTCCATGACCATGATCCATCCTCATCCTCCCAGAAACCACATATTACAATACCCACAGTACGCCCTGGCTCTCGTTACTACTCCAGCGATGCATCGGCACATCGTCAGCTCCTGGCGCTTTGATTCATACCATATTCTGCCGTGGAGGTTTCGAGGCTCCGGAGATCTACGGTACAGGTCAAAAAGAAGGGACGTCGGGGGTCAGTGTGTCACTGTCAAGTTCTGGGTTAGCCTAGACTGTGATTCCGCCTCGAGTACGGATGCTTCGTTTCTGTACATCGATTCCACGATGCGAGTTGTCCTTCCATCAGCCTTGCTTGCTGTGCCAACCCAGAGCAGCACACTCAGCCCTTCCCAATCTTGCCTTACGCGGTCGGCACTAAAAACGTCTTCATGCCTAAATGAGGCCGGGCCCGTTCGTGGAGCTGGGTTCATCACCGTACGCCCCGCCCTTGGTCTGTACTACGAATCCCGATATGGATGGATACAGTAAAGGATTGTGAGGTAAGGTATCTGAGACTGGGGGAGACGAGGGCGAGAACGATGGACGAAGAGCCCACGCGTGCCGTGGTATATGATACCTCTGCTTTCCTTGACCTGGGCTCGCCTTTCCCTCACTATCTGTACTAAGTATTCGTACACACTTATCCGTACAACGGCATCGTTGCTAGCTGGTCTGTTCCTTGCAAGCTGCCGTGCCTTACTAGTCCCAGCTGGGCACGGAGTTGCTTCTCATTCTCTCTCTAGGCCCTGGGGCTCGGGTCTGGGTCTAGGTCTGGGTCTCTGGGTCTCTGGGTCTCTGGGTCCCTCTCGTCCTTTGGGAAAGGATAGTGAGGTACTCCGTACCTTGGACTACTATGTGCCTACCTTGCGGATAGAAGCTGCTGGTGTTGCCGCTTGTGCTGGTGCTGGTGCTGGTGCTGGTGCTGGTGGGTGGGAGTCTGGAAAAAATACGTACCCCCCTCTCGGGCGTGAAATGGAAAGAGAGGTGTCCAGGGCAGGCGTACGGAGTAGGCGTGTATGTACTCGGTACGGAGTACTGCGTACGGTGTGTGGTGTCTGTGAGGTGGTGTCTGTCCCTTTCCCTTCCCAGTCCAACCCAAGTCCTCTTTCCCAACTTGGAGCTGGCCGCCCTTCCAGCTTCGCGCCTGTAAAAAAGGTTATTTCCACCACCTGCACCCCCCAATACCTCCATTTGTTCTTTCCTACCTTTTACCTTACTTACCTCACCTCTCGCCTCAGGTTTTTTCTTCAACCTTTCTTCACCTGTCTTCCTTCCACCCATCTTGACTGGCCAGCCAGCAGCTTTTTTCCTCACTTTTCCACTTCTTTACCTTCCTTCAAACTCCCCTTTGTCTCAATTTCTTCTCCGACTGCTCGCTGCCTTCTTATTCTTCACCAGCAGCTTGAGCTTCAGCTTCACTTTCTTGACTCGACACGATTCCATACACAACAACCAGAGGAAAAAAAAAAAAAAACACACATCAACACCAGAAACAAAATCAGCCACCCATGTTGTCTGATTTCACCTTCAACAACTTCTAAAAACCACCTGGAGCACATGAGTATACATGACCATGCTCACAGTTAAGCAGCCAACACACTACGGCTACAAGTCCGTCCATGACCTACCTACTCCGCCCTCGACATCCCGACCCTCGCCTCCCTTGTCTTACCAAGACCACCCTTCGCACAAGCTGCTGCCGTCCATTCCCCGTAGTCACAGCCCAGCTGGCCAGCCTATGTCGGCACATCATCGTGGCCTGCCTCCCCCGGCGGCCATGACTTTGCCGCCTCAGCCGCCTCACGCAAGCTCGGCTCCTCCTCCGCCACCTCCTCCGGCGCCCCAATCCATCGGCCAAGCTCAATCTAGCCATGGCCACCTGATGGGCCAGCTGCCCGGACCTCCGCCGCAGTGGCAAGGTGCCGAGGATTCCATGAGGAGTTGGCTGGCAGCAAAGACCGAAGAAGAGCGCAGGAGACAGGAGGAAGAGAAGACGAGGCAAGAGACTCTGCGCCTGGAGCAACGGCGCATCGAGGCCGACATGCTACGAACCTCGTTGAGCGGCGGAATTCCCCCGCCCATTGTTCCTCTTGTCTTTGCCGGAATGGGAGGCGGTGTTCCTCCTGCGGCTCTGGAATGGGCACAGCAATTTCTCGCCCAGCAGGGTCAGCCTCAGCACCCCCAGCTGCTACCTTCCCAGGGTCCTCTTTCGCCCGAGCATCGCCGCGATTCTCAGTCCCAGCCCTACGGCCAATATGCGGGCGTCCCGTCGACGCCGAGCTCCGCCCCCGGACCTCACGGATTCCCTGCCTACCCGGGCTCTCCCCAGCGGGGAAGGGCAACGACTTTGTCCTCGACTGGCTCGGTGTCCCGGCCGCTGGGATCTAGCAACCTTCCCAGCCTCAACACGAACGTTCCCCATTCTGGCCCACCAGGCCCGTCGGCACTGCAGAGCCACCAGCACGCAGCTGCGCAGTCTGCGCAGTCTCAACAGGAGGCCCAGCCGAGCCCGTCCATCTACTTTCACCACTGGCACCCGCCGACATCCCAAGCCGGAGGTGGCTCTACTCAGCCTGCGACACCCTCCGGTGCGTCCAGCAAAACCAAACGAAAGAGAGAGTCGCTTTAGGCTAACCTTGGCTGGTGTGGCCGTTAGGGGAGTCTCCTAGGAACAAGCGCAAGGCCACAGGCCCGCAGCCAGCCCCTCCACCGCCAAGTCAACATCAACGCTTGCGGTCGCCTCCTTTCCACGGTGGATCAACGCTTGAGAACCCCCCGCCGGGGCGAAGACGGGGCCACACACGACAGCGCAGCGATCTTTCGTCGTATCGGCCGACGGGTCGCGGCCGAGGTGAGAGTTTCGGGACGCCTCGAGGCATGTCTCCTCAAGTCGCAAGCTTCAGCACGGCCCCGGAGTACGGCAGCGCCAGTTCGGTACCTGCTCAACAACAGCAACAAGCACCGAGGAGTGTTGGTGGACATTCGGTATCATCCTTGTTGTCCGAAGAGCCATCACACGCAGCTCAGTACGGACCGACGCCAACGGAAGCTTATCAAGGGCAGGGCGAGGAGCGACGACGATCCCCGTTGTGAGGGGTGAACGGACGGGACGGACGCGTGGGGTCGCAGGATCAGCAGCCATGCGACAGGCAGCACTGATTGAAATTTGGCCCGGGCCAATTTTACGACTTGTTTCAGCCATACCATCACGGCGAAATTTCGCGAAACGAGATGCATGAGTACGACATTTTCTTCCGAATTTTTCGCTTCTATTGGATTCATTCCGCCACGTTATTCTTCGGCTATGACTCTCAGCCTTTCCAACCCTTGTGACTGAAAACAGTGAGGGGGGTGGGAAAGGCAGAGAGGGCATTCGACGGCGGCTTCAGATTGCCGTCGATGATTTCGATTTCAAAAAGAGAGAGAGGCATGGATTTCTTCTCTCAGCTTGACGCCTTTCCAGAAGATCTGAGACTGGAGGCGCGCATTCTTCACTTCTTCAAAAGGCATGCACGGGTCACGGCACTTCACTTCTTTCGATTCTTTCTTCTTCTTTTAGGCGGGCGGGTACATCCACAGCCGATGAGCCTCGGGTTTTTATCATGGATTCAACTTTTTTGCTTCTCTTTCTTCCCACACCTGGTGTTTTGATGTGTATGGTACTGTCAACACTGCATTTTTTGTTTGGGTGTACCTATAGCTGTCGGGTGTGGTGGAATCATCAACGGCCGGCCAAAATCCACCTGCGAGGTGAGACTCATCAAGGGGGTTTGGTGAGAGCATTAAGACTCAGGTTGGAGTTAGTTTATTTTTCAACTTCTCGATTTGGACAAGTTTTCTCGAAATGGATGGGTGGACTTTGGCAATATCTTCACTCTTGTTGGCTTCTTGAAATCTAGGGCTGGCTTCTTTTGGGCAATCTTACATGTATCATGATACCCTGCAGAAAAGACAAAAAACAAGACAAGACGCATTTTTGCAGAGACGGACAGACGTGTTTCAACCCCTTGGAGATTGATACCTTATCTCGCTTGTTTGATTATTGCGCGTTGGGGGTGTGGGAAGCCCGGAGGGGTGATTTGGGAAGGGGGCCGGGAACCAGGGTAATTAGATGACGCCCTGCACCGAGTTATCCCATTACCCCTCCTCTCCTCTCTT